ACAATTCAGAAAATTTAAATACTTTCTGGTCTAATGAGTCCTGGACCCACAGCAACTACCACCCATTCCTTTGTGACCCCTACCCTCCTGCACAATTGGCTTCCATTCCTTACCCAGCAAAAGGAAAGCCCTGTACTTACTGGAAAAAGCAGCTGTCTACTGGCCCTTTAGCAGGCCCTTAAGAGAAGTGACCAGTGAGGACAGGCTGGGTCGAGGATTCTCAGACTCCACACCAGCAGGACCCGGGCCCAGACCTCACCCACATCTGTCCTTCACTGACATGTTTTTGCAACATCAACTAGGTGCCGGGTTCTCATTTCGGTGCTATAGGAAAATGAAATGAGTAAGTCAAGGCCCTTGCTCTCAAGGAGTTCAGTCAAGGGAGGGAGACAGAATTGTAAACAAATCAAGGTACGACAAGGCAGAACTAAACCAGAGCCCGATAGCCGCACAAACGGTGCAGTATGGGAACACACACAAAGCAGCTATTAATTCTGCCCAGCAACATCAGGGAAGGCCCTGCAGAAGAGGGGCCATTGGGCTGAGCCGTGGGGGAAGCTAAGCTTATCAGATGGAGAAGAAAGAACCAGAGGAGGGAGGGAGTCGGGGGTTAAATGAGAGACTACAAGGCAAAGAAATGAGGCAGTGGCTGGAAGGGCAGCTTCAGCCTCCCTTGAGTGCACACAGCCAGGACGCAGTCTTCATGTGGACTTCAGTAGGCTGATTAGAATGACTGGCTCACAGCTTTCTCCCTCACCCTGGAATGTAAGTTCTACAAAGGACAAGCTAAGACTCACTCATCTCAATGACATCAGCAACCTAGCATGATTCCTGACATGGCAACGGGTGTCATGTAAAAAGACCTACTGGTGCAAGGCTGCTGTGGCTGAGGCAGGAGGATCCCAAGTTCAAGACATATCTAGGTTACAGTGCGTTCAAAGCCAACCTAGGCAAATTACTGAGACCCTATCTGGAAACAAAAGAGAAGGCTGCAGATATGGTTAGTGGTTGGGGGCTTCCTTGGCATGCCCCAGCCTGAGGTGCTTTCCTCAGCACCATATGAACAAGCACCAGGAGACAGCAATAAGGATGGCTCTGGAGAGGGAAAAGCAATTCAGCATGTCTAGAGACAGGGAGTACAAAAGGACAGTTATTATGGAAAGTAGAGCCTTAAAATGCAGGTTAGAGGTTAAATCAGGTGATAGGCATTCAGTTTGGTCTTAGAGGTCTTTCTAGTACTTTAGATTATGTGAATGAGACAGCTTTCTCTTCCCATTCATTTTTCAGGCTCCAAAAACAGTCTGACTAATAAAGGATAAATGACTATGTAAAGACACAAAAATACATAGTAAGTGCTTAGTAACATTCTTTTAAAAAATTGAATGAAAGAGTGAATTACTCTATCCCAAAGTGGCATTGGTGTTTATGTAACCACAGTATGTTCCTAACTCACATTCTCCTTGTGGTCAGCTCTGACCCCCACATGTTTTTCTCTAACACCCTAACCCATCCTATATTTGTACCCTTGGGTTTGAGACTTTATAAGCATATTTTCTTACTACGTTTCAACCGTAATTATGATAGACTTACTTTTCCCAACGTACTGGGTCATTCATAGCTTTATTGCTATTTTCCAGAAAAGCTAAACTACACCCAACTTTGGATCCACAAATCTGATACACACATTCTTGATTTGCTTTCTCCAGGATGTCAATAAATGGGAGCTGAAAACGCTGGCCCTCAGGACCAGTTCCTGCTGGGCTATCACTCAATTTACTATTCCCATACAATCTACATTACCCACAAATATTCAACCCAGTTATTGGGCTTGTTAAAGCAGTGTGGTCAAGACTCTGCTTCTCCTCCCCCCCCTCATTATCTGGTGAAATGAATTACAATGGGGATTTCGCCCTGCTCTGTGGATCCCTATTTTGTTGCTATTAGAAGTAAACACTGTCTATCGGACTTTCTCTTCACAAAACCACACTGATTCCTCTCTAGTGCCTCAGGGTACCTAGCTAGCTGCAAATTGATTGTGTGATGGTACTTTCTCATCCCCACCCCCCACCCCCACCCTGCTGCAAAGATCAATGATTTGAAGGTCTTTAATTACCAGAGACATCTAGTGCTCTCCCTGCTTCTGTTGCAAAGATAGACGTATTTGTCCTTTCCTAGTCTTTAGGGACTTTTGCAGTTCTCTGTAAGGCCAAAGATAATGACCTAGGGACTACAGCCATATCTGCTTGTACCCCTAGAGCTATATCACCATACTCTGCTGGTCTGAATACTTCTATTTTTCCTTCTCACATTAACCATTTTATCACCCTCTGATAACCTTGACCAGGACGACTTCTAGTCAACCATTTACCTATGATCTGCTTGGCAGAGACCTGGAAGAAACAACGCTTTTTGAAAGTTATTTTGGACTTTGTTTTTCTGAACATCCTGATGTGTTTGCCTCTCCCGTCTTAGCTTGTCCTTCTTCTGCTATTCTGTCTTAGAGATTTAACCTCCACATTATATACTAATTTACACACAAACATTCCTCACACAAAGCAACTAAAAAAAAACCAGCCTTATCATTAACTTCATTGTTTAGTTCAAGAAGAAAACAAAGGGGCTGGGTATAGTTCAGTGGCAGAGCACCCTAAGTATATACAAGGATATGGATTTAACTCCTGGTGCTGCAAAAAGAAAAGCAGGAAAGGAAAAATGCCTAAGCCGAGTTCATCTGGTGCCTCCACTGCCCTACTACAAAACTGAAGTCGGCCCAATGTGATGGTCTGATCACTCACCTGTCTTCCTTGGCCTTCACGGAGGAAGCATCACACACAGCATGTTTACCTGAGGCCTGAGAGTTCTCTTTGGTGCTGAGAACCTCCAAGGTACTCAGCACGTGTGTGATGGAGAAGAGAGGGGATTTAATGCCCAGTCCACTGCAGACAGTGGATTCCAGAGAGGAGGACTCATTCCTCCAGAGAGTATCTGTCCAGGGAGCCTCATTCCTCCCTCTTCCATCAAGATTTCTGCACACGTTCAGGTGTGTGTTTTGGTTTGAATTCGTGTCTTCCCTCATGTAATGGTAAAAGTTGGTTCCCTTTATTTTGATCTTCTAAAAATTTAATTCATCTTTTTTTTTTTTTTACGAGACAGGGTTTCTCTGTATTGTTTTGGAGGTTATCGGTCCAGCCTGGCCTCGAACTCACAGAGATCCGCCTGCCTCTGCCTCCCGAGTGCTGGGATCAAAGGCATGCGCCACCACCGCCCGGCTCATCTTTCTTAACATTGTTTTAATTGAAAGTTTATAATTATAACCATTAATAGAGTACAAGGTGGTGTTTTTATATGTGTATACAATGTAAACTAATTGAATCAGGCTAATTAATATATTTGTCCTCTCATGTATCATGGTGATATGTTTTAAATTTACTCTTGATTATTCCAGCCTTTCTGAAAGCTAGGTTAAATGCAGCCTACAGAAACCTCCCTCTATAATCAGTTACCTGACATGACTTTCTCTTTTTTTTTTTTCTCAAATCCTAACTGTTCAAAGGCTTAAATAGTTAGTATAGAAGTCTACTAACACAGGAACCTGGAGGAGGGGAGCATATCAGCTGTCAGTTATCTGAGTTTCTGCAGATACACAGAGAGGGGAAAGTCAGAACCCACAAAATTCACTGAGAACTGATTACAGTAAACAAAATCCCATTCAACCATATAATTGTGCTTAACTTGGCACACCCTACCATACCAACAACTTCAGCCTTCGAAGTCTGTAGGACCATAGATATGACAACATAATGCAAATTTGTTACAAAATCATTCAGACAATGTTTTAATCTTGTAAAAAACAAAATAAAATAACTTTTTTAGATTCACTCAACTTCTTTGCAAAATCATTGATCATTGAGAATCCAGACATGGTAGGGCAGGGGATAACTGAAGGGCATAGAATGAACAAGATCTCCATAAGGACATACTTACATATAAACATTTTAAGCCGGGCATTGGTAGCGCACGCCTTTAATCCCAGCACTCGGGAGGCAGAGGCAGGCGGATCTCTGTGAGTTCGAGGCCAGCCTGGTCTACAGAGCGAGTTCCAGGACAGCTTCCAAAACAATACAAAGAAACCCTGTCTCAAAAAACCAAAACCAAAACAAAACAAAACAACAACAGAAACCATTTTAAAGGTCTCAGGAAAAGAATACAAAAACTTTGAGTACTTTGTCAAATGTGTTTTCTTCCTAATGATATAAAAAGTGTCACCAGCTACCATCCAATGGGGGTCAAAAATATTAATCCAAAGGAACCGATGCCTCACGCATCCTTTTTTCAGTCTTGGAATTAGTGTGTAACTACAAATGCAACCTAACTATCAACGGTTGAAAAAAAATAAATGAACCACTTGGTGCTATTCCTTTTCTTTTTAATTTTTGAGAAAAATAATCAGACTTTTATTTTACTACTTACTACTTAGATTCTATTTTAAATGGCTTTCTTTAAAGTAGACTTTTCTATCTTAGTTATCTTGAAAGTAAGAATAATGTGTTCTGTCAGCATTTACACAGACAAATGTTCATTTCCCCACAGTTGAACTATAAACCCTCCAAGGACAGACATTGCGAATTCTCTTTCTACATTTTATACCTCCCCCAGCAGCAGCCTAGTCCCCATAATAAGCCACAAACTTACCTTTGGCACAGAAATCTGAGAAAAAGAAACATTCAAAACATATATTAAAGACTGGTTGCCTGACTTGGAGATGGAATTTTCCTGCAGATAAGACAAGCTGTAACCTTAATACCTCTGCACTACTCATGGTGGTACCCAAGGTTTCTTACCTCATCTCTCTCTCTCACACACACACACACACACACACACACACACACACACACACACACACACGACTCCTTTTACTCATAGCAGGACCACCTTGAAGAACAGGTTTGGACAGAGCCTTGGGATGGTTTGCTTTCATTTTGTCTATCTTTGTCCTACAGGATATTCTCTCCTATCACAAAAGGAGTCATCAGCGCCTCTCTCCTGGACTGTATCTAGGTTACCTAAAGCTATGTAGCTCTGTGGATCAGATCAAAGTGCTCGTAACCCAAAAGTTGCCCAACATTCTCTGCCATGTGAAGATCCGTGAAAACAACAACATCTCCAAGTAAGTGGTCCAAAGTTGGGATTTCACTTGGTCTGATCTGCCCAGAGGAAAGTCAAGTGCTATCTACCAGTGTAGTTTCTCTGATGGGATGTTCTGCAGCCTGATGGAATCCTAGCATCTAGGATAAGGTCCACTGGGAGGAGTAAAGCCATTAAAGGGGGACCCTGCACCTTCACTGACCCTTCTGCTTCACTCAGGGTGCAACCAATGATACCCCACTCTCTTATGAACACAGGCTTGTCTTCACACACTGTTCCCATCCTCCTTTTTCACACTGGAAATAGTTATGATCTCTGTGCTCTTTGTTTTTGATATCACCAATGAGAATGACATCTTCTGGAGCTACTGCTTCTCCCTGATCTAAAGGGGTCCCACCCACTCCCACTCTGCCCTCTCCTAAATCTCTGGCTTTCGGACTTTATATGTGTTCTACATGTCTGACAACTTGCTGGGTAGGGAAAAAAGAAGCAAATCCCAAACATCCAAAAATCTCTTCTATGGTTTGGCATTTTGTGACTGACTCTCTTAGCTTTGGGAAAGTTGCCTAGTCTTGGTAATCTGGCTCAACTTTATCCCTAACCCTAATGGCAGGCCTCTTGTTCATCTACTGTAATTTGTTGAACTGAATAGTGTTCAACAAAAATGAATGAAAAGAAGGAATACATAATAAAGGGGAAAGTCTCCAGACTTGTTTAGGCTTTGAAGAATGCAAACTAGGTTCTCAAGTTCTTTACAAGTACAGATTTACTTAACCAAAAACAAATATGGCCCTTTGAATTTGGTCTCTACAATGGCAAGACTTAAGTAAATATGCTGTCCACAGGCTTGCCTAAGCTCCCCTGATGGCCATGGAGAAGGTGACTAAGGTGCAAGAAATGTGGTGGTCTCTTTGAGAGCTCTGACCATTGCATCCCCTCTGTCACTTATCAATTGCACCTGGACTTTAAGTCTGCCCTCTGGTGGTCGTTTCAACAATCAACATCTGGTATCTTCAGAGTCTTTCCAGGAGACAGCATCGTTCATTTGTGAGCTGACTGGGAAACAGTCATGTTCGTCTGTTTCTGGATTTGTGTCCTAAAGTCTTAGTCGCCATCTTTTAGTAATTACATCAACAGATTTTCCCTTTCCAAGGATCCAGATTCACTTGTACAGAAGACTGCACCAGCCTTCATCATGCAAGTTCTATCTACCTCCCCATCTTCAGAGCCCACACTGACTAGTTAGTGGCAGTGTGGTTCTTACTGGTGACTGTCTAATTTGGTTCCAGAACCTGTCTTACCAATGTTGTCCTTTGGGGTCTGTGTATACTGTGCTAATCATAAACCTCTCATCTAGTTATGTGTCAACAATGGGAAAAGGGAAATCATTCCCATATAGGCTCTCAAGGAGTTCCATTAGCAGTGAAGCTCAAAGTATGCCCAAATTGCAATAGGGCTGAAGTTTGACTTTTTTCTCTCTTTTATTGGAACAAATGATAGATTTTTCCATAGTCTTGTCCAGTCCGAGGCTTGAAATGAAACAGATCTCTTAAAAACAGAAACTCTTCTAAGAGGGTGGTTAAAGAGAGAGTGTGGGGTTGGTGATTGACTTGTTTGTTTCTCTTGCTTTGCTACTTTAAAAAAAAATAATGAACCTCCTCCAACACAGTCAGCTTGGTTTTCTGACCCAGAGACGAGCCCTGGCTGTGATGCTCCTTTGGTGAGAGCCTTCCACCATGAAGAGGAGGGCTTTCTTTTACTGCCTCGCCTGCTCCTGAGAGTCTGTTTCTGCTCCCTGCGGAGCTAGAAGGGGAAACTGGGCCAACAGAAACGTTTTTGGAGATTTGTGCAAAATACCTGTGGAAACAATGTTGCCGGAGATGCATTTACCTTGATCTTTTCAAGCCCTTTTTGAAGAGTTCCCTTTGGGGGACCAGCCAGATGTTCTTCCCTCCCACAGCCATTCTTTCCCCTTCCCTTCTGCTTGACAGCTGAACAAGTTCATTAGGAAGAACTATAGAGCATGCAGAATGAAGACACAGAAGACTGGTTCAGGAGGAGGAGGAAGGAAGCAGTGATGTGTGTCCCCTGCTTCCTCTTATTGGAATTGTCTGGTGTTCCTGTTTGTGATTCTCCTCAAGCTTTTGGAAAGGGAAGGAAACCAAAATAGTCCCCAGGATTACAACAGGCCAGGGCTGAAATGTGCCATGCGGTTTGTTGCCTGGGTTGGATCAGTCCTGTGGTTAGCCAACTGTGGAATTAACCAGTAGATGCCCCTGTGGTAAAAATGTAGGCCTTCAGAGTTGAGAGGCAGGAAAACAAGGACAGTCAGGAAGTGACTCCAAACATCTGAAAGCTTCAGGTGCAAAGGCTGGTTTGTCCACGCCAGACCTACTGTCCGAGGTACAGGTGCTGTGATGGGGGAACTAAGCTGAAATCAGAAATAGCCCATTTGAACTCCACTTAGGTAGCAAAAGGTTCAAGTTCCACAAATAACATTGTGTTTTAACCACCAAGAACTGATTGTTCAGGCTCTGGACACCAAGACAGTTCTGAGCTGTCCTCTGAACTTCCCTTATATTTCTAATTTTAACTTGACTCAACATACAGAGAGGAGTGGGAGTGGATCCAGAAGCTCTCTGGCTCTGAATCTATGGAAAGTGTGGATCATAATGCTGACTGCCCCGTGCAATTGTTCTTCTACGAGCTCCAGATGGCAGTGAAGGCTCTCCTGAAGCAGATCAGTGTACCTCTCCACCAGGTACAAGGCTTTACCATTTTTATCTACTTTTTATGGTTCATGGAACCTGAGTCGTACCATAAAACTTACTCAAGAGGCTTATATATGTACATATGTTTATTGTCGTTTATTTAAATACCACTCTGCCTGTACACGCATGTTTTGAATTTAATGCCTACAACTAGACCCCGGCTGTGCTCCGGCTCCTTTTCTCTTGCTCCTTCATATCAACCTCTCCCAAAGTTTCCAGATCCCACTTCAGTGTACTCTGAGCAAGCAAGGAAACACCCTCTAGCCTGCCCTGAAAGACACCAAGATTCAGCTTCAGGACAGCATGAAACACAAGGATAGATAGATGTAGATTATAGACATGCATGCATAAATGAGCAACAGTATAAAACAAATTATTTAATTATAACCATGGGATTTAGTGCAATGGCCAATTGATTTCATGTTGTCTTTTATTAACAAATCATTATCTAAATCCAAATATGTACATCTGTCCTCTACAAGCAGGACTTCAAGGGAAACTGTTGGCATATGAAGAGTAGAACTGTGTTAGGCTCTGTCTAGTCGTTTAATACAAGCTAGTACCATGCTGAATTCGGAGGTGGGGCTGACTGTTGTTTGGTTGGTTTTGCCTTTGTTCACCAGTCCTGCCCCTCTCACCACAACATGAACACGGATCCCAAGAGAACCAAGTGTTAGTTAGGAAGATCATTACAGCACGGGCCTGTTCTCTTTTAATAAGAGAAAGAGCTACAAACTGGCCACATGGAGGCAGGGGGATAAGTCAGAAATTCCAGAAGTGTCCTTCTATTAGGGTTCTGTTGATTTTAAGTCCATACTTCACAGCCAGTCCAAACCAGCCAACATTGATGGAGACTAAATCGCTAAAGACGCTAGGGGAGCCACTGGATTATTCAAGGGGTGGCCCTGTGCTCTCACAAGGAGAAAAAAATAAGCACACAGCAGCTCTCCTTGTGACCGTAGGTACTATTAAAGGGCTTCTTGGACCTAGCAGGTTTGAAGCAGCTCGTATTTCATTGGTGACTCGGGCTATACATACATGTTGGGAGAAGGCTGCTTAACTGCATAACAGTGCATACAACATTTTTTTATACTTGTAAATTTTTCTCAGTCCTTGGCCAGAAACTACATTTTTCCCCCTTAACCAACTTAAATTGAAACTAGTGGATTTTTAATTCAATCCATTTTTGTTGCTTCATGTAATTATATTCATCATTTTGAAAAGCCCACAGAATGCAATCATTTTCTGCTTTTATAAGAAGCATAAATGTTGTTTTCAGAGTTTATGTGGAACATTACTGCCTTAAATCTTGATTTTATATAGCATTATTAAATGGGCTGAACCCTAATATTTATGTTGTATAAAAATTCCAAGCTTGAAGTTGTGTAATTTTGTTAGATGTTTTATGCCGGTTTGGTGTTGTTTATGTAAGTGCCATGTTGTAACTCTCCTATTTTTCCTCCGCGCGTGTCCCTCTGCAGGCAAGGAACTTCCGCCTCTACACACAGGAGGTGTTGGAAATGGGTCACAATGTGTCCTTTCTTCTCCTGCTCCCTGCCTCAGACGACGTCTGTACAGCCCCAGGACAGAATAATCCTTACACCCCGCATTCAGGGTTTCTTAACCTCCCTCTTCAGATGTTTGAACTCGGTATAGTAGCTTGTTTCACCTAGAAATATTAACCCAGCCTCCTTATAATAAAATCACAAAGTGGTATCTGTTCCCCCTTGTCCCAGCGGAGGGTCAGTAAATCACATGATGGCTTTGGCAACAACCCCTCCTAGAACTGTGTACAAGTGTGAGCACAAGCTAGGCTCCGGGACTAGCCTGAGCAGTATTACTGAAACCGAGCGCGAAGGCCCAGTGGCGAGGAAGGAATTCCAAACTGAAAGTTCAGTTAGCAGGCTCGCTTACCGCCTCGCTCCTCGCTTAAGGAGCATAAATACAAGAATGATGTGTTCATGACTATGTGCTCGTGCTGTGCCCAGCCCCATCCTCTCACAGCCAACTGGGAAGGAGTAACAATGAAACCAACACATAGAGTTTATATCACTTTGCAGTATAAAGAGATCGATGAGCAATCTTGATTGATTAAATAAACAGATTGATAACCTAGACAATGTGAGAAATGGACAGGATCTCCCAGGATGCAATACTGTGGTTGTAATGTGAAGGATCTGGATGGTGGAAGATCTTGTCCTCCCTTTCAAAATGAATAGCCTGGATCCAGTTTCTACAGAGACCCCTGCTGCCCACTTAGAATGTGAACAGGGGGGCTTTGTCTCCTTTCTGGTGCTTCATCTTGTAACAGACCAATAAGAGGCAATTAGCAAGGGCTCCCTCAATTCAAATAAATGGTGCAATTTGGGGGAGGCCGAGTGAGTGGGCGGGTAAAATGGAGGTGGCCCGTTTTTTGACTGCTCCCAAGCCACCAGATTCAGACGCACACAAGGTGATTGCCTGAAACTTCATTTTGAAATCTGGGCATCTAAATCAGAATTTATCTGTTTGGGATATATTGTTTAATCCACTTAGTTGCTCTTGCTATAAGCAATTAAGACATCCAGAGGTTGAAGAATGGTCATTGCTATTTCCCAGAGGGGGAAACTTTCTAAGGAAGTTAGAAGCAGACTTGCAGACAGAGATTAGACAGTCCTGGGTCCCCTACTGTATGACACTGGCAGTCATTTAACCTTACCACACCTTTGCTATGTCACATGATTAATAACAGTGACCATACCACTCCCCAAAGCCCTTGGGGTGACCATTTGGTTCATTCCCTAGCAGAAAACATCTCCAGTGGGCATCTAGTAGCACTGATGTGATGAGATACAGTTTGGGGCCCATGTAGATTTCTAGTCAATAAATAGCTCTTGGGCCACTGTGGAGACTGAGGGGTAAGGACAACATAGACACTACATTCGAGGGACTCAGTGTGATTGTAGAAGTGAATTTTCCCAGAGAGTAACAGAAAGCCTTCATGAAGGAGGGCATATTTGATGTAGTTGTTTAAGCATGAGCAGGTTAATAAACACAGATAAAAAGAAAGGCTTTCTGGTCACAGGTGGAAAAATTAGCGAAGACATGAGAATGTAGTAGGAAGAGTCAGGGAAGAGCCAGAAGCCCAGTTTGGTTAGATCAGAGAACTGCGAGGCATGGAGGGGACCTTCAGCCGAACAGGAAGAAGCGGCCATGCTGACTTGCCGGAGTCGGGAGCAGAGAAGTGTCATGTGGATGGAAAGCAAGGGCCAAAACCTTCCGAGCTGGGTTTAATAGACCAGCGGTAGGATGGCAGCTTGTGGCAAAAAGACAAGAAGTTAGGTGAGAAATGAGTGGAATCAAGAGTGAGCAACAGGGTATGAGGATAATGCTGTCTCTGCCAGAACTGCCAGGGACCAAAAGCGTGGTTTGGGTGCTTTTAGCTTTAAATAATATTGAATTTGAAGGTGCTAAACCAGCATCAAAGTGAACATATCACATTGGCAGTAGAAATGCAAGAGAGAAAACCAGATACTAAATAAGGAAACTTAAGCAGTGTCTACAAGTAGCTGCTAAAGCCAGAACACACACACACACAGAGAGAGAGAGAGAGAGAGAGAGAGAGAGAGAGAGAGAGAGAGAGAGAGAGAGAGAGAGAGAGGCTTCCCATAGGATAAATAAAGAGAAAAGATAGAAGGAAAATACGTTATTGTGGAGCTAGCCAGCATTTCATTCTGTATAAGATGAATCACACCTTTTCCTTAATTTCTCTCTCTCTCTCTCTCTCTCTCTCTCTCGTGTGTGTGTGTGTGTGTGTGTGTGTGTGTGTGTGTGTGAAATTCGTGTCTCCATGTCTCAGTGACACTGGTGGAATAATCAGTGATTTGGGATCAATTATAATAGCACATGTTTCCTAGGACCTGGTGGGTCACAAGCATTTGCAACAGTCCTATCAATCCTGGGAATGTCCCACACTCTTCTTGGCTAGCCACTGCCTGCCACACTTGCTCTCTGTCCCTCTCCACACTACAACTGTTGAAGCCTACTAGCATACATTCATTCATTTGGTCCCCCACCAACAAATAACACCATGGGCCAGGCATTACTAAAAGGCCCTGAAAAACATGCAACTCTTCATGGAGTGCACACCCCTGTGGGGGGCCTGAGGGGGGCAAATAATAAACCAATGGACGGAGAACACAAACATAAGAGATATAAGGGCTGTGAAGAAAAACAAGCCCTGGAAAGGGACCAGAGTGATGTGACAGGGTTGCAAATCTCTGTAGGGTGACCTGGGAAGGCTCTGTGAAGAAGTTGCATTTGAGCAGAGGCCTGACATCTCCAGACAATAGGAAGAGCAAGGGGAGAGGCCTTCAAGGGACAGTGTGTGTGGACAAGGGAGCAGTGTCCATAGTGTGAAATAGGCGAGGACAGCCAAGGTGGGGCAGGAGGTCACAGTGGGAGAAGCGGGCGGGGGAGGGGGCTTCACCAAGTATAGACTCTTGACAGGGAACTGAGGTATTGTTCTGTGTATCTGGAAATCATCTCAGTGGATGACTGTAAGCAGTACAGCATTAAAAGCTCTGCAACATGCAGTAGAAGCTCCCCCCACTCCAAGAAAGAAAGCTTAACTTTGTTTAACCCAGAATTTTCCAAATTCATCTGACCAGAACTGGAAACATTTTTGGCATGGCATCTATTTTAAAAAATCCACAAAACACATACTTAGGGATACAATGCCCTAGAATAATGTTCCTCAGTTTAATGTTCATAAGAATCACCTGGAGAGCTTGTTAAACTATAGATTCCTGGAGCCCAGCCCCAGGGATGCTGAGTCAGTAGGCTGAGAAGGAGCTGAAGAAAAACGGACATTCCTAATAAGCTCTCAGGTAATAGTGACGCCATATGTCCATAGTGTAAGTGGTTCTGCCTAGGACTCGGAGATAAATACATAAGTACAGACTTAGAAATGTAGTCAGCAGAGTAATATAGTAGAACCCAACTGTGTCTGCCTCTTTGATCTGTCTTACCTACTCTTATTGCTAAAAGCAACTGTAGGACCATACACACTAGCCTTCATCTATGAAAAATAGGCCGTAGATCAAAGCCTATGTCTCACCAATCCTGATTTTAACTCGAGTTTTTTACTCGAGTAAGACAAACTTTGGTACTCCTTTGGCCCTCCTTTATTGCTGTATCATGAGCTATCTAACTGATTAATGACTGCCATGTAAGTTTCCAGAAAGGACCACTTGCTTGGGCTTGGTTCCATTGATACATCCAATTCTATTAGTGTTTACTTTTTTTAAAAAAAGACTATGGATAAGTGTTGCCAGTAAGTAGAAACTGGTACACTCTCTAGTTCAATGTTTGTTGTACCAGAAACAAGTTTTAAAATGTGACACACTCTTAGTAAGAATCATGGCAAACTCCCCCTTACCCTTAAATAGTCAGTGCTTCCCAAGAGACAAACCTCCTTTTCTCCACTAGACATAGCCCACTAAAAAAATTAATGACAACTTCTATAGGAACTCTTAAGCCTTGGTATGTTGGACAAATGCCCCTCTGAAGAATATCTAAGAAAAAATTTAACTAGGGCCTGCTACTCTAGGTCATTCCATAATAAATGGTAGAGATATCCTAAGCATTTCTGAGAAAGAAAAGAATGTTTTTGGAAATTCTGTCAGAACTAGGAAAAACTTTAATAACAACAAGGGAATTCTAATGAAACTTGAAAAGGTGTGAATTATGGGAATATGTAAATTATAATAAAGAAGTGCATTATATTTAATTTGACTTGTATAAGTCATCATCCCCTACCTCATGGAAGGATTTGGGATTTGGCAACCCAGCCATGTTCCCACTAGTGACCTTAAGTGAATCATAAATAACTTGCTGACCAGCAATGGAAAACTGCATCTGTTCCTAGTGCAGCACCAAACAGCTGTGGCAAGGGCAAATGATAAAGAAGATTGGCCTCCTGTCTCCAGGAGGAAAGACCACTAGGCTACACCCACAGACCATCTTTTCAGAAGGCTGTTTGTGACCCTAAAAGAGACTGACCAAAGAAGATGTCGTCTAGCTCTTAGACAAGCAGGGTTGTAAAGTTTCACCAGAGAGACACTCCTCTTTCCACAGCCTTGGGGAACTCCATCATCCCTTAGGCAAAAGCAGAATAGGACCCCAGTAAGGCCATAAAGCCCATGTGTTGAAGCCCTTGAGAAATGTGTTCCCAGAGGAAAAGGAAAAGCAGCATCACAAGCTTAAACACACTATCCAATGACATGGCCTGTTGAGGCTCTGCCTTGCCTGCGTGGAAGAGGTCACCTTGCCCTGACACTGTGGGCAGTCTCAATGAACAGCAAGCCTACAATGAGAAAAGTTGATCTTTATTTGTTTCCTTGGCTCTGTAATTTGTGCTAATTGGACTAAAAGGACAGGATCCTGGAGAATTTCTTTTTTAAATGGCCAAGCCCTTCTCCATTCAACACACATTTGCTGAGTTTCCACTAGACGCCAGACACTGTGCTGGGCGGACCTGCAGGCATTCACAGCACACAGCTTAAACTCTGGAATCTCAGAAATCTAGAAGGGATAGAGGCAGTGGTCCTAATGCAATGAAAGCCCTACTGTAAGCACAAGTCGCTGAATTTCAGAAAGACATCCAAATCTTCCTTCAGAGGCAATATTTTAAATGGATCGTGGAGAATAAAACAAAATTCAGAAGGTAAAAGGCAAAGCTGAAAAGGGAAACCGTTTTAAGCAAAGGGAACAGCACAAGCAAAGGCTAAGCCGATTAGGTATGATGGATGCTCAGTGCCTCTGGGGAAGCTAGAAGGTCAGATCCATGGGAGTCGCTCCGAGGAGGTGAGACTACATCTGGTGGGCAAGAGGAATGGAGAAAAGTTCTTAAGGAAAGGAATGGCATGGGCTTATTAGGTTTCAGCAGTTCTGGGAGGACAGATTACAAACAGCAAGGTACTACTGGGGCTGAGGCTACAAGGGACAAAGCGACTAAGAGACTGTTTCACTGGTCCAGGTAGACAATGATAAGACCTCAGAACCAGGGATGGCAAGGGGGGGGTGGTACAGAGGCAGAAGGCAAGGCAAAGGGGATTCAGGAGTTAAAAATCAATGAAACTTTGTGATTGATTTGAGGCACCTGAGGGGCAAGATGGAGGAGCCAGAGAGTCTGAAATGGGTCTAAGATGGATAGCATTGCCATCTACCAAGTCAGGAAATATGAAGGGAGGAAAAAGTTTGGGGCAGGGGAGGATGATGAGTTCAGTTTGACAAATGATGAGTTTTGAGATACCTGTGGGATATCCAGGCAATGAGCTTAATGGAATCCAGACCCTGGGCTTGAGGGGAACGGCCCAGCACCAACCTTTATTCCTAATTCCCATCTTTTTTCTGATTTAGGATACCCCTGTCCTGTATTCCAAGTGTCAGTTCATGCACTACCAGGACTCTGTGGAGCACTTTGGGCCCAGGTGCTTTCTGGCAGAGACTCGTGGCACTAAACTTATCCTAGGAGGTTATCTTGTTGATTCTTTGGCTCCCTAAGGAGGCCACAATGCTCAGACAGTCTCAGAGTCTGAAGAGTTGGGGATTCTTAGGATATTCTAATCCCAATGTGCTAACACTTGAACTATTAAATGTTTCATTCTACCTGGGAAGTGAAGGCATAGGAGAAGGGAGTGGGAACAGACTGATTCTAGTATGTCTTATGTGCATGTTGTGTACTTTAAATACAGCATTGGTCCCTCTATGGGAGTTCTTATTCACCCTGTTTTAGGAAAACTACTGAGGTCCATGGAGGTCATATACCTACCATAACACTGATAGTAAGTGGCACAGATGCAATAAAAAATCAGACCTGCGTGGTATTTAACCCATGCACTTTCTACTCTGCTGTCCCGTGAGTGTTCAAGCCAACTGTACTGTAGTCTGTCTCTATGTAATATAGGGGGAAATGGAAGAGAAACACCACCACAGAGAATGAGTTTCAGTTTGTATGTTACTCACAAATCATGTAGTCCCAATAATGGCATTATCATTGCCTTATACCAGTTTGTCTGTAAAATGAACGTGATTCACATTTAAAAAAATTAGAAGCTTCCAGTCTGTCCTCCCTTCCTTGGGGATGGCTACCAAATGTATCATTGCTAAACCACAAAAGACTATGTTAAAGTAACATTTGTCAAAGTGACATTAAAGGCTCTGGACAGAAACCACTAGAGCAGGGAAAGTGCTACAGCTGAAACATACTCATAACTCACTTGTGGTGCATGGCATGGATGGTATTGGATGGTGTGGGTATGGGAGACCACCCACTGATCCACAGCTCCTACCACAAAACAAGAGAAAACTGAATTCCTGGCCTTTGTGAGAAAAGTGAATACACCAGCCTGGAAGAATTCAGAGGGACTTATACTGTTTCTTTCAAAGGGATCATTCAATTTCTTTACACAGTCAACTTTATTTCACATTTTAGAGAGGGGGGAAAAAGTCTACTTTTGTCATTGTTTGTAAAGGAGACTGTGGGACTCTTTACTCCCCAGCCTAAGGGAAGATCTGTCAAGTGCTACCAGAAAATAGTCCCTGCTTGAAGGGCAGAAAGGCAGGGAACCACAAGGGTGAAAAGTAAGCTCCACGGAGTGGTGACTCCTGCCTTGGAGCATCCAGAAAGTATCATCACAGTCGTAAATAGAAAAATCAGCAATTATCCTCAGAAGTGCACCTAAAGAGGAAAACGGGGTGTCTTCAGGGCTGGGATCTGCCGCCTTCATCATCAGCTCTGACATTTCTGTTAGTTAAGAAGCTATGGTGTTTGGGGTTTTAAAGAAATAAAAAGAATCCTAATGCCCAAGTAGCCAAAGATACACAAACAGCAATGGAGCAGGGGAAGGTCTCACACACCCTGAATCATATCGTCTGCGGGCCCAAGAGGGAGAATTGATCTGTCTGGGAGGGAGGAGACGCCAGTGGAAATTTCACTGAGAATCTGTTTCTACTGAATCTTTCAGTACCGAAAGGAGACTGCAAAGGACTGGTGGAGACAGGTATCTGAGGATGAGGAAGGGCAATTGGAGAAGTGTGAAAATATAGAAGGGAGTGTATTAAGTTTGGTTTGAAAGGAAAGCTGAAACTAAAGATCCACATGCAAACCCTAGACCATAAGAGTTTCCTGAGGTGTTTGGATTTTTATTCTAAGGAGAGATCTTTGTAGAATTTTAAGTGAGGGAATCATATGAGGATCCGACTGTGTGGGGAAAGCCTAAGAGCTTGTCTTTTACTGATAGAACATGAAATCAGCTCTTCTTTGAACCAGGCAACAATGTTCTAAAGAGTGTGGGGAGGCCGGGAAGGAAGGCACTAGTAATAGAAAAATCAAGTCCAGGTCTGAGGATAGAGAAGTGCCTACTGAATCCTAAAAGCTGGAGGAAGGGTTAGACACAGCTAGAGCAAAGTTGAAGATCTGAAGCCCTCGTTCTAATCTCTTCCTATTCCGTGTGAACAAAGACAGGACATCACTCTTCCACCGGCCTAAAATGTCTCATAAGAGAACATCAAGTAAGATATCAAGCAGCCTAAGATATAGGAAGCGCAGAAATCTCTCACATGCAAAGGAGCAAGATTTCCTCACTGATTGGTGGAGATGAACAGACACCCCATTGTGAAGCGTGATTGTTTAGCTTCCCCGAATGTCTGGGTGCAGGTACTGGGATCTATAGCAATGGTGGGGGTCAGAGGTAGTACACTGGACAGTATTATTAAAATTTCTCACCCAAGAAGATGCAGCAAAAATAAAGTCTCCAAATCTGATACTGGACCAGGAAGATAGTAAAACAGCACTGGCCTGCACTGGGAAGCTTTCTCGTTGGATGCTGCACATTGGAATGCTGGGTGATTATAGTGTGTGACCAGGGCTGGCCAGAGAGTAGAGAAGCCTGCCATGTGCCTCTCTTGAAAAGAAGCAAACACAAGCCTGCAGTTCAAACCCTTTCCTATGGCCTCTGTTCCATTATGTTTTGAGACAAGAAGGCCAAATCCACAGACAAAAAGGGTCTGATCCAGAATCTGAGCCCAGAGTTGCAAAGAGGGAACAGGCAGAAAAAGATTCAAAGCCCAAAGGACCTTGGGGAAAATGTCTAGTCAGACAAAAGACAACCGAAGAAAAAGCATGTCTTGTATCTTCTAGGAGTAAGCAAGATGCTTAGTTAAAAATCAAATCTAGGTTTCAAGCTGCTACTCAGCTTGGTTTATTTGTTAGTTTTTGTTTTCCCTTTAAAGTGATTTTCCCAGTTGGGGCATGCGCACGTGCATGCATGCGTGTGTGCGTACGTGTGTGGGTGCGTGCATGTGTGTGTGTGTGTGTAGCCATATACACAATAATGTATACTTAACAATATGAGAACTTCTGAAACTTGCATCATTAGGCAATTTTGTTATTATGTAAACATCACATATATTTACACAAATTTAGATGGCTATGATATCACTGAGTGATGCAGTCTTATTCAGTCACCACTGCATATGCAGATATCACTGATCCGTCATCATGTGGAACATGACTATAAATGAAAAAGGTCCCAAATTTAGAGAAAAGTCCATCTAAACGGCAGCTTGAACCAACCCACTTCCCCGTACATTACAAGGAGTTGGTAAACCTAAAAGGGAACACTGTCTGACTAAAGCCAGACAACTGGCCCCTTAAGAGCACATTTATAATTTATTTATGGCTTAATATTTTCCACTGATAGGGTTAATAAATCATGTTTCCATTTGACTGGTTTTCTCTGCTGTATGGATTTCTCTATTTTGATACGAGATCTTAACATGTTTTATTTTGCTTGTCTTTTTTCCAGTTCATTTTTGCAGCTACAGAGAGAAATTTATTAGTCTGTATTGCCGCCTTTCTGCTGTGGTGGAGCTGGACGCTCTGAATACCCAACAGTCCCTGAGGGAAGCGATCTCAGACAGCGAGGTTGCAGCTGCCAAACAAAGACACCAGCAAGTGTTAGACTTCATTCAGGTAAGGCTGCTGCTCCTTAGATAATGAAGGGACAGGCAGGGAGAATGGGGTGAGAACCAAGCAAAGACAAGGGCAGCTCCCAGATCCCATGGAGGGAGTACACCGTGCCAACAGCCTGTGGCAGAACGGTGGGGCTCCGGGCCGCTGAGTTTTCAAACAAAGGCTTAGCAGTGAATTACAGGTAAAACGCACTAGTCCTAAGAACTGCATAAGCCACTGTGGTCAGCACCAGAGAATGGTCCAAATGCTGTGCTTACCCACTAGTCCAGTAAGGAGGGGGGAATGGTGTAGAATATCCTTAGCATCTCAGAGAAAAAGAAAACAAAATGGTCTATTAGTTTCTGTTAACCCAGATTCAGTTAGATCATTCATGATTTAGACTTCTTTCTTTAATGTGGTTACTGAGGTGAGAAAATTTACTCCTTGCCTGGCATGATGGTATGTAACTGCGATGCCAGCATTGGGTAAGGTTAAAGTGAGTCCCAGACCAGCTTGAGTGAAAGGCTGGTGTCTTAAAATTTTATATATCTGCATGTGTCCGTGTCCGTGTGTATGTGTGTGTGTGTGTGTGTGTGTGTGAGAGAGAGAGAGAGACAGAGACAGATACAGAGACAGAGACAGAGAGGGAGGGAGAGAGACAGAGACAGAGAGGGAGACAGAGAGGGAGGGAGAGAGGGAGGGAGAGAGAGAGAAGGAAATGTGAAAACTATGTCCCTTGTCCATGATCTTGCCTAGAACCCTTTTTGATGATACTTCAGGGTTCATGAAGAGGGCACCAACCAGAAGTCTAGAAAATTAGGATCTGGCCTGAAACTGCCCCTAAACACCATATCCAAATCTAATTATCTTTCTATCAGTTACCCAACTCACAAAATAAGTACAATAGCAATGGTTCCATGACAAATATCAATATTATATGCCTTCCATCCGTTTTTAGAAATATTAAACGTCCAGGTGTCAAGCACTATATGAGAGATGCAAAGTTGGAATAGCCATGACCTTAAACTATTTGAAATTTATTAAGGTAGACAGGAAATGTCTATAAGTATTGTGGTTAAAATATGTTAAGTACTGAAAGAGAAATAAAAGAAAGGATATTTCTATGTCAACATGAAGAAATAAGCCTTGACTTTCACTTGTGGATTCTAGGGAAGATGCCATGGAAGGTCCTGGTGATATCTGAGCTGGGCCTGTAGGACAGCATAGACTACACAATGTAGAAACAGAATGTCCAGCCCCCAGAGAGAAAATAAGCAGATAAGGCAGATGGGCAGAAAAACTGTAAAGAATAAAGAGGTGTTTAAAGGTTAGTTGGTGCATAAACTGAATGTTGGGTGACTGGGCAAGACTGAGAAACTGGACAGGAATGAAGGACACCAGTAAGAACAGGTCAGAGAACCATACCAAAGGCCATGGTAAGAAACTCACACTTCATTCTGTACCTAAGCCTTAGCTTTGGAGAACATAGGAGTTTCTTACAGCTCCACTGGGACATATTGGAGCAGGGAAACCATGCCTCCCACCGGTACTGCTATAGCCACACTGGTTGTTCACTGAAAGAATGCACTCTGCTTGGCCCTACTTTCTAAATAATCAGCCTGCCTCTCCTGAATTTAAGGAGAGGACTAAAGGTAATGAGCCAGACTAGACCAGAAGCTCCAGCAACTAGCCAAATAAGAAGTAAAAAGAACTCAATATAAGGAAACATTGTGAACTTGAGAATTGATAAGTAAGTCCCTGAGGCTGGGGTAAAGTGCTTGCCTGGGAGAGTGAGGCCTTGAGAACCCATACAAAAAGAGAGTGCATGGGACAGACTCTTGTAACTGTGCTGGGGATGCCTGGACAGGAGGACCTCGTGCTCACTGGCCAGCCTAGCCTTCCTGGTGAGCTCTGGAGCAATGAGAGACCCTGTGTTGGAAAACAGAGTGAATGGAGCTCCTGAGGGACAACACTGAAGGTTTCCCTTGGCCACTACACACATGCATGCGTACGCACACACACACACACACACACACACACACACACACACACCTGCATGCAGACACACACACACACACACACACACACACACACACACTCATGAAAAACAGTCACAATAAGCTGGGCATGGAAGTGCACACCTTTAATGCCAGCACTCAGGGCAGGAATGAAGATTTGGTAGTGTTCAGAAAGAAACATGTTACCAAGCAGTAGAATTACCCTATTTTCCTCATCGATAAATGAAGATCACTCTCAGACCAAAGAAGAAATTTTTCAGGAAGCTGCTCACACTCGAGAGCCTAAGATTTTAGAATAGTAAAACATTGACTCCATTTATTGCATTATCAGTAAAGAACAGATGCTGATGATGGAAGCAGAATAGGAAAAAAAAGGTACAAAATAAGGAAGACACCCTCCCTCTCCCTCTCCCCCTACTTCCCTCCCTCCCTCCCCACTCTGTCAGTGATGTGTGTACATGAGTATGTAGGTGTGCCTACCTGTGTATACACAGAAGTCAGAGGGCTAGGGAGATGTTCAGTGTTCTGTCTGTCTCTCTAAGACAGGGTCTCTAGCAAAACATAGAGCTCTCCATTTTTCAGCAAGGCTAGCAGGCAGTAAATCCCAGCAACCTTCCTGTTTCTGCAAACCCCTCCCTCCCAACCCCACTCAGCACTGAATTATCAGAGAGTGCAGCATGTGACCACACCCAAGTTTAGTGTGAGAACTGGGGAACAAACTCAGGTCTTTGTGTTTGTACAGCAAGTGCTCTTGTCCCAAGCAGCCACTCCAGTCCCCTTCTTACCTTTTGAGTCCAATGCCATAATGAAGCTAGGCTTGTTGACACACACATGTAATCTAGAACTAGGGAGGCTGAGACAGGAAGACTGAGAGACCAGCCTAGGTCACACAGAGAGACACTGTCTCAATAGTAACAAGCCAGATGTCAAGGGGGCACAGCTCTTAGTTCTGGAGCAGAAAACCTTTTGTTTGATCTGAGGGTTGATGGGAGTGCTGGCTTCTCACATCTGTAATGGAAGAATTGGACTAGAGAAATTGTCAGGTCCTGGTCACCTCTAACGTTAATTGCATGACCTACAATCAGAAACATTTTAAAGAAACACTTTGCTAATGATGCCTTGGGTTGTATTTCTGCCTTAATCTTAATCTGTTTGGGCTCCCGGGAATCTCATTTGTCCAATGAAGACCCTGCCTTTCTTTAGTCTGTGGCAGTCTTGACCCCTCCCAGAAGTCCTGACTCCGCCCTCACTCCCTGGCTGCTACCTTTGCTCCTGTCTCTCACTCAGCCTGGAGCCCCACTGCCTCTTCCTCCCTCAGATCACACCTTTGAGTGAGCCAGAGAATGACAGGCCAGGTCAAGAATGCTTCCAAGTTCCCACCTGCTCCGGACTCCCTTAGACACATAGACTTGAATAAAAGCCAGTTGCCAAAGTGTTCAAAAGATAACTTCTGGAGTAGGGTGATTCCAGATCATCTACCTGGGTCCACAGCCTTGGGTGTGCCACCCTGCTACCCTTGATATGAGCAACCTCACACACAACTCGGGGTCCTAGCTCCCCTTACTTGTGTCTGCTTCTTTACCCACCCACCCCACCCTAAACTGGACAAGTAGCTGAAGCCACTCACACATTGGTGTTCACAGCTCAGCCCATCCCACACCAGAACCAGAACCTGCAGAGGCAACTGTCAGGTCCACCTAGATCTAAGACCGTGTTACTACACAAACCAAACATTGTAAAGAGCAGGGGAGTCTATGTAAATACAGCTAGGAAAAGAAGCCAAGAAGTGTAGCCAAAATGGGGGGAGGCCTAGACTAGGGGAGGCAAAGAAGAAAATCACAGATAAGGTACACAGGCTTTACAGACAGCACATGCAGTGGAAATGTCAAAGTGAGTGAAGGAAGACAAGGAGAGACAGAGAGGGAGAGAGAGAGAGAGAGAGAGAGAGAGAGAGAAACGTCAAAGCATGAAGACTCGAGGCTTAGCGTACTTGGAGCTGTTAAAGCCAAAAGGGCAATTAGGCCATAATTTATATACTGTAATGCTTCAAATGTGCCTAAGCCGTAATAGAAACACAGCTCATTAAATATAGCCAATCTATCATCCCCTCAAGCACCTTGTAGCTGCGCTGTGAGAAAGCCAATCACCTTTACATTTTAATAAAAATATTATCTTGCCTGGGCCCAGAGAAAGGGTATAATTTATAGGATGAAAACCGAAGTTTGTAAAGAGCAGGGTGAGAAATGGATGCAGACCTTTTAATGAACGGACCCAGGCCGTTCACAGCCACTCTTTTGAAAAGCATGTCAGCAAGCCTTCAGAAGCTGAAGCTGGACCTTTAAAATCAGGGGGATTATGTTGTCAGTTGCCTTTAGATCAACAGTAGAAAGTGAAATGAGTGGAAATTGGACTTCTTTGGGGGCTACTTAGCGAGGTTTCATTAAAATCAATCCACAGGCCTCCCTGAACCCAGGGCATGTTTAGTTTGCTTCAGTTAGGCTCTCTCTAACTCTCTACCAAGAAAAACTAAGAAGTCGACATGGCTTCGTTCAGCTCTGTCCATGCTTGGCAATAGGCTGAAATGCCTTTATCTAAAAAGAACAGGTAGATTGGTATGAAAGTTCACAGAAATTTACAATTTACCACAAACTGGCTGGCTTAAGGTAACAGAACTTTATTCCAGGAATTGGAAAGCAGAAGTTCAAAATTTTCATTGGTAGAGTTGCCCTCACCAGAAGGCTCCAAGGAAGAGTCCATTCTCTGCCTCCCCCAGCTTCCGGGGATTTGCACATTCCTTAACTCATGTCTATCTCTACTTTTCTGACTGCCTCTTCCCTTCTGCCAAGTCTCCCTTTCCCTCACTCTTGCAAGCAAATCCTTATGAGGACATTTGTCGCTGGATGTGGAGCTCAAAAAAAAATCCAAGATGAACACTTCCTCTAGGATCCTTACAACCCCAGCTTGGCCACAGAAGGCAATACTCACTTTTTCATCATATAAGGTAATAGTCACAGGTCCCAGGATTAGGAGTTGGGAAATCTTTTAGGAATTTACAGTCAGACCACTGAAATAATCGTGATGGGCATCATACAACTGAAAATGTTATAATATTGCCCAATTTGCAGAGCCCACTCGCCCATATTCCCTGAATCCTTCCAATAACCCTGAGAGTAAAACTTGCTTCATTCTAACAGTCCTGAGAGACAGTAGAACAGTAGAGCCATTCTGTCCCTTCATTCATTCTGCTAGCATTCCCTGAGCGTCTACTTGAAGAAGAACACAAAAGCACTGTTCCTGTCCTTGACAGCCACCCTAAAAATGTTATCCACAATCAGGTGGTGCCTTTAAAATAACTTTGAGACTTCTGGACCCTGAATATGACACGGCTAATAAAAGCCAGCTGAGAAAGTAACTGTTTCATTGGGAAAACCCATGCAAGTGTCACCTGGGCATCCCAATCTAGCTTCACCTCATGAACTTCCTGTCCCCTTCTCATTCCCCCTTCCCATGGCTTAGTGCTCCTCCTGGGCCTGGCTTCAGTGGAACTGACGGCCCAGGTAAGGGAGCAGACAAACCCCAGGCTTCAGTCTCATGCTCTCAACACACCAGCCCTGCATACTCTTCCAAGGCCAATCCCAAGGCAGCACAGAACTAGAAGGCAAGGAGAAATGGCCCCCAACCACACAGTTTTGCTCACTAGCGCTTTCTAGCCTGCTATCTCACTGAACATGACAATGAACGTCATAGCTTCAAACTCTAGTCTGTGTTAGGAGCACAGGGTTTGTTGATACTGGTTTTTTTTTTAAGTAAATGGTTAAGTATAAAGACCTAAGAAGAAATTTTGAAAATAAAGTAAAACTGGGTATACCTAATCTTTAAACCTCTCCAATAAGGGACACTTAATGTGCCATTATTCTTACACTGAACACCTTCTATCTGAAGGGAGTGATACCAGCTTTCTAAGTGTTCTCCAAAAAGAGCCATAAAGTATTAGAACCGGATGTTACCTTAGCCATCATATGGTTAAATGTCCTCAATTTACAATGGAGAAATGAACACAAAGAGTTAACACTTTGCCAAGGCACCCGGTGAAATCAGATATAAAGCCGATCACAAGGTTCAAGTTCCCAAGAACCTGTGTAACTGTGTCTCTTCTTGGGAGACAGGACAACCAGAAAATTCAAGGCCCAGTGCTCATCATGACCTAAAGAACACCTGTCCTCTATGGCGACAGACAAAATGAGTAACTTGTAAACCATTAGCAACTACTATTGTACTTTATAATGAAAATGTCACTGAAATCGCTATAGCAACCCCGAAATCAAAGTGATACTGATCTAAAATGTGCTACCATAAGAGTGTTTACATTTTTAACGAGAACTTTTAAAAACTGCATTAGACTTTGGAAGCATTTGCTTTATAAATACAAAAGTAGTAGGTTTAATATATAAAGTTAAATCTTTCCTGTAATACAGATACAAGCATTCTGAAACTCATATATCATCTGCATCATATCACCTCCCTGATACTTTATGTTTCATTACATAGTGAGAGAAAACAGTACTTTATGTGTGTGAGCAAAAGACGTCTTGTGTGTCTATGGCCTCTACAGGGTCATAGACATTTTCAAATTCATCACCCTACTCAATCATCACAACAACTTATGGGATATTCCTCTGTAGTTTGTAAACAAAGCAAGTAAGACTCAAACAAATGTCATAGAAACACATAGCATGGAAAATGGTCCATCTTGGACTCTCAGGAAAATGTTTTTCTTTTAATGCCTATCGCCATTTTATTCCATAGCAAACAGATGAAGTCTGGCGGGAAATGAGGTGGATCATGGATGCTCTACAGTATGCACGATACAAGCAACCTGTCTCTGGCTTGTCAATCACTAAGCTGATAGACCCCTCCCATGAGCAGAATCTAAAGAAGATCAGTTCTACATCATCACATATTGACTGTCTTCCATCAACATCCCCATCCCCAGAGATGCACAGAAGAAAGGCAGTGAGCGGTAAGATCTAAAGTTCTTTTGGGTTGGCCACCAGACTCTCAGTCCTGTCTTCACCGATGGTGTTCCCTGTGTGGATGCATTGGTTATAGAAAGTGGTAGAAACGCTGTTCAGGGGTGAGGATCAGAAAGCATAAAAGAAACAAAACCAGAACCGTGGGAGGATGGGAGACAAGGGCAATAACGTGATATCGCCTTACTTGGGGGTAGCTAAGATCAGACCAGTGTGCTAGTCCGCATGCCCAAGACAGGGAAGGACACAGAGCAGTCCAGAAATTTCTAATGGGAACTGCTGCAGTGCCAGGTAAGTACATCAGCCCCGCCTCTAGTCCATCTGAGGTAAGAATTGAGGGTGTACTTCCCACCCACATCATATTTTCAGATGGAAAGTGAGGAGGGGAGAAACCGTGGACAAACTAACTAGACTCCTGAAACTGAAGGAAGCCAAATAGGCTCAGCATGGGCATGGGCATGACGGCCTAGGAAACAAGGTGAAAGAAATGCCTCCCAATGCACCTTGGGAATTAAGAATGAGATTATGTGGCAAATACTAGTGGCATAAACGAGATTGGAATAACACAAATTTCTACAAAATAGCTTTGTGCTTACAGGCAGCAAATGGCTATAAATATAGGCAATACTATATAATACTCTCCCCTGGAGCAGGTTAAGTCTAGTGTCATTTTTCTAGTCAATAAAAATAATGGTCTTTCTTAAGAAAGTGCCTTTCTTAATTCTACATCTTAAAACCACTTCAATATTATGATCTCCATAATAATATTTTTAGTGAACAGTTCTGATTTATAGGCTTGTCCCATAGGGGGCAGCATGGTGTAGCAGAAACAGTCTGGACTTAGAAATCGAAGCCCTGTATTCAAATTCCAATTTTGTTTTGCCAGCTGCATGTCCTTGAACAGATTCTTACATCTCAGTATTAGTCTTCATATATGTAAAATTAGGATAGTAATGCCTACACCTTACAGAATCATTGGTGAGTAAAACAAACTATCAAACATACATGAAATGTAACAGGAAATATAAATATATTTAATGTATCATCTTAACATAAAATCATTAATAGGAATATGGGCCTTTTCTATAAGCAAGTCTGTATTTTTTTAAAATCTCAGTCTCTAGATGTCAAAACTTGGCAAGTGGATGAACTTGGAAAGCAGCTAACTTTTATTACCAAAGGTGTGTATGATTTACCAATTAATTCAACAAAACAATTGCTTCAATGGACTCTAGGGTTGGTTTTTTTGGTGTTTGTTTGCTTGCTTGCTTGTTTGTTTTTTACTAATTTGCACTGACCTTGGGGGTACAAATCAAATAGCATTTCTGCAAGGAACTGGTCTAATGGAAGATTTAGAAACACTGATGAAAAAGAGCGCTATCACTGCCTATGGGTTACAAGGGAGATCGGTGGCATTAACCCACAAAACCAAAGTTGGAGGTGACAGAAGCAAATACTGAGAAAGCAGAAGATGAGTGGCAGGGGAAAGAGCTTGTGTGCAAAAGAAACAGATTGTTCTGTGTTGCACATCAGGTTGCAGCCAGTCTGGGTGATGGTCAGGGTTCCAACTGCTCATTCTTTCTGCCCATTTAAAAAAAAATACACACTGGTTGCCTACTGTATGGCCGACACTGTTTTGAGTAGCCAGAAGATAATGAAAAGGCAATGTATCTACTCTTATGGAACTCAGTCTAGAAGGGATGGCAATAAAAAAATGAATAGCAGACCATCAAACTACAGTGTTCAACACAAAACAGCAACTGTGATGAGGGCAGAGAGGGAAGTATTGGCTTCTAGGATGAACGCAAGAGACCCACTCAAGAAGGTGACGACCTAACCCGCCACAGGACAAGACAAAAATCTGGAGTTAGACTTTTCTAAACAGCAAAATAGCAGAAGGTCTGAGGGTAGGTTGGGAGGAAGGCCAAGAGCCTGGGCCAGGGTGAGTGAACGGGGAAGTAGTAAGAGACGGAGCCATATCAGGCAGGATTCTGGAGGTCCTGCTATCAAGTTTGGATTTTCTCCTACTGTGACAGAAGGCCACCAGAAACCAGATTGATAGGATCTGAATTAGCCTTAAAATTATATCTCACTATTGTATGAAGAAAATGTACAGGGAAAATATGAGAAGCAGGAAGATTGGGACGCTAATAAAGAGAAGAAACTAAATTTTCTGGATTGAATGTTTCAGGGCTTCATGATGCTATTTACAAAAGAAAGAGAGAGGGGGAAGAAAAAGAAGGTTGAATATTTAGACATATTAAATACGAATTGCTTTGAATATTTCCAAAAAATAAACATCCAGGAAGAAACATACTGTAAAGATGTACAGTGTCTGCCACTCAGAAAAAAAACTGAGCTAATAATAACATAGATTTAAGATACTGTTGATGCTGGACCGAGAGCCTCCAAAACAATACAGAGAAACCCTGTCTCGTAAAACAAAAAACAACAAAAAAAAAGATACTGTTGATGCTTAGATCATGTCTGAAACTACAAAAATGCCTGAGCCCCTAGAGAGTACATGTAAGGCAGGAAAAGAAACAATGTGGAAGGTACCCCATGATGTAGATCAATAAGACATCTTAGATTTAGAAGGAACAACCAGAAACAGAACAAGAGCAGAGAACCATGTCAAAAAATGAAAGCATATCAAATGATGGAGAAAGGTTAAATAAAACAGCTGTGCATTTTCTGTCATAAATAACCTTGATGAGAGCAGTTTGTGAAGGAAAAGAGAGAGAAACTGAACGTCAGTAGATCAGGGATGAGTTGGAGGTGATGAAGGAGGACCAGTAGGACACTCTCTAAAGTCTTGGCCGTGAAAGAGAAGACGAAAGAAAGGCAGCAAGTAACTAGAGAAGTGTAAGGTTGAAAGCCATTTTTAAGGCAGGAAAGACATGCTCTCCAACCTTCCACTGTTTATATAATCCTACAAACAGCTTTTCCATTCTATTTCCACCTCCACAGCTCATCTCCTTTCTGTGTTCACAAAGTTTCCCCAGTGTTTAATCTTTTCTTAAGCCACAGGGTCCCAAGTGGGCTCCTCCTAGATGGTATGAGGGTGGCCTCCTCTATGCCCTAGAAATGCCAGACTCTCACGTTGGCGTAAGGATGGATTACACGTACTCCCTGCTGGGAGGATCTGCCCAATTGCATTCAGATTTTATTATTAACTTAAAATGTGAGTGATCATCATTCTGTTTCTTAAAATACAATCCTCTCTTGGGTCCATTTATTTCTCTGAAGCCAAAATTCCTTAGGCTTTGAGACACAAAGATGTGGAAGGCAGCAAATGACAAATAGAAACTATTGACAGGAACACACTGTTGAGCATGAGGAAGAAACGACATCCTGTCTCCTTACAAAGGCAGAAGCACTTCGGTGCAAGGAAATCTGTCCCTGTATACTCTGTGCTCTCCATAAGTGTAACCACTTTGAATTGTTTGGAAACCACTTGTGAATGGGGAAAAATCCAATTTAGACAAACACCCCCCCCTCCATTGGGTTACTCACAGAGCTGAGTTTGCAGCATAATTCCTTTCTATGTGGGTAGAGCTTACTCAACTTCTAAGGCGCCTGCTGGAAATATAAAGCCTATCACAAATTTTACCCCTGGTGCCAGCCCAAGATTCTGTCCTAGAGTTGTTGAGTATGTTGGGTGTGTTTGTGCAAATCTGTTTAGCATGAGAAGAGAGAGTATAACTCTAATTGCTCAATTCTGTGTGGTTTTCAAAACAGAAAGAATTCATCTGAGTCAATTAAAAGTCAGCATCTCCCAAGGACCCAAAGGGACAAGCTGGCTCCAAGGAAAGGCAGCCCAAGGCAGGGGGTAGGAAGAGTTGGTCCATCAAATGGGTATTTTCTTCTCCCTCCTTTTCTGTGGACACAGTGTCACAGGAAGCAACACCCCCTACATGGCACTGATGTTTCTCATGGTGACACATGGGTCAGACAACAGAGGGAAGATCGAGTGTTGTTTACTTCAGATGTGTTTGATGATCATATCAATCTTGCAAATGTAAAACTTCCTGATAGCTTTTACCCAGAAGAGGTCAGGAACAATACGGCATCAACCAAATGGTTCAGAAAGTCAGCAGGAATCTTAAGGTATTGTTTCTCTTGGGAAATCAAAAAAATGAACAGAACTGCCTAGGGCTTGATGAGTCAATGCATTTTTTATTTATAAATTATTTAAGTCTTATTAAATACATAGAAATAGATCCAATGAGGCGTATATGCATATATATGGGTAGTGATATATTACAAGTAGATATTGATTTTAGGGAAATACTATCTAATGTTCCTTTATTTCTGTCATGCCATTAACACCACTACCTCCCACCTTTAAGAAAAAAAGCAGTAACTTTATTCATCTATTTTTCCAGAAATGTCATCTCCCTATAACACTATCAAGACCCACAGCAACTCTACTGTGCTGTTGTTGGCCTTCCCCAGAGACCAGGGTTGCTAAACCCATCACGATGACAAGAAAACCAAGCTTCCTAAGCCAGCACTAGTAATATGGGCAGACTTTCATTCAGCAGCTCCCAGGTCGTCAAGCAGAGGGGAAGCTCAGCTTCTACCAATGCTGACCTGCCCAATGCCCTCCAAGGGAAAGTGGGGAGCACAACCTGCTTTGCTAATATAAGCTGCACAAAGTGCCTACCATGATTAATGGAGCATATGGCCTGGGTCTAGGGAGGGAAGCCACACTCTGCACTCTTTTCCAAGAAGGGAGGAAGTAGCAATGGTCTAAGTCCTTGGAAACTCTCCTGGGTACCCTGAACGCATCCTGGAGACTCTCCCAGCCTGTTCTGGGAGGGCTACACCACTCCAAGCAAGAAGTTCCACTAAGTCTTCTAATAAATAACCCGACTGTCATGCAAGTCAAATATTAAGATCCAGTTCTACTAGAATAACATTTCCCAAGGGCAGGTTCATGGACCAACAGGATACTTAACACTCTATTCTCTGGCTCTTTTATACC